GTAAAATGTTAAGCGTTTGGTTATATTTCGCGTATCAGTTACTATTAAGCAATAATAGGTCAATAGCGCATCTGAATTAGATGTTATAGGGCTGGGACATTACACCTTCCATCAACTGATATACCGCTATAAAAAAGACCAACATTTTAAAATTCCACTACGTACGATAGTAGCGCTTAATACCTCCATTTAAGAACTATTACCGAGTTTTACTTTGTAATTGTTTCCAATTTAAAATAATATATTGCACGTGCCCGGGAATCCTTTGTAATTGACATATATTGCACTAGAAAGGATTGGCATAAATAAATATGCCATTTGATATGAAAAGTCATTAGTTGAGGTCACCTCAGTGTCTCCGTAGCTCAATGGATGAAGGCGCTACTGTTAAATAGTTCGTCAGACTCGTTGGTTTCATCGCACCAATATATGGCTATAATAATCAACGGGTCGTGGGTTCGATCCCCGTCGGGTCCAACCTGCATGAAAAAAAAAACAGACACAAAAATTGACTCGCTGCATACTTACTGGGATAACACTATAGAAAGTAAAATAATAACGTTTACTTTTTAGCGGCTTATTATATACTATCTCACTATTATGTACTTGTAGCTCAATTGCTTTGTTTGCTGATCGCGAGGTATTGGAGTTCGGATTGTGGAAATATTCTAAATAGTAGTTATTAATAAATTTCGTGACGGTAGTCGTTGAAAACCATCAGTCCCCATTGGATCAGAGTGATTGTTTAAACTCTTACGCCCTCTTTTATTAGAGGCGGTGTTATGTGGTATTAAGTGAATATTACACTTAATTTATTCTTAAGTATTACGCGAATATCATCACGCGAGTACATTAAAAAAACACTTAACGGTTTAGAACGCGAAATATATTATTTATCTAATGTGCAATTTATTTTAACTACGCGACCACGACTACTGCAAACGTCGGGTTGCAGTTAAAATTAATTAGCTAGTGTCGCGTTTTAAACTGTTAAAAGTGTTGTATTTAACTAATGTTTCGTGTTTCAACAGAAACATGCAGGAAAACTGTTCGTTATTTGGGGAGATGTTTATCGTTAATTTATTCACTGGGGAAATTACACGAACTTTCAGTCGTAAACTTTTTTTGTTGTTATTGGTCTTTGTTATTAAAACTAAACATTATTGTTTAATCTATCTGCACTCGCCGTCATAATTTTTGTGGCAACACTTTTCTTCAAATTAAATTTATCCTTTTTCGTGTTAATTATACTAAAATCTAAATGAATGGCAAATAAAGAGTTTAATTAATAATATTTATTACAAATAGGGAATTTTGTGAGTGTCATGGATTGAATGTGTGATCACAATTGTCACAGTTAACAGGATAAAAAGTGTAAATACTAAATATGTATATAGATTGCTTAAGCCCCCACTTGAAATCGGAATTCGCTGTTATAAAGTAGTAATTGAGATATCAAATATAATCGGCATCATCGACGGAAAATCTGATAATTTCGAATTCCTCAAATTATTGATAGGCTATTAACATTTTAACACGTCATCAAATACCGATGAATTTCGTCGAACACAACATTACGCTGTGTTTTTGTCCACAGACTGTTTATAACGAGAGTCTACTTAAATCCTTAATTACGTCACACTTTCGTTGAAGTCAACGAAATGTGACAAATGAAAAGGGTCATAGACTTCGTGACGTCATTTTTTTTTGTATTAGCATGGGGTCCGCTTGATGGTAGGTGAAATGCTCCAGCCTATATCATCTAAGCAAGATGCGCTGTCGACCTTTTTGGCTTTGGATATTTGGAAATCCACAGACTCAAACCGATTAAAACTTAGCGACTTTTTCACCTGTGGACGGTAGTCCAAATGTGACCCAGTGGGGATCGAACCGACGAACACCTACAAGCCCGTCACAAACTAAAAGTAATCGCGATAAGCAATTATATTGCAGCAGCCGTGGTCACGGTCTCCCCATGACCACGGCTGCTGCAAAGCATCCGAAACGTCGGGACGAAGTTAAAAATCATTTTCAAATAAGTTTATCTAATAATCGCGTTTTACACCGTTAAAGTGTTTTATTTAAATGTGTACTACTCGCGTAAACTATAGACAGTATGATTTACTATTCAAAAGCTTATTGCTTCAAGGGAAACGCAGTCATTTGTCTTTGGTCGTACATAAGCAATTTTAAATAAAATTGCTAACTTCACCACACTGGGCACTTTGCTAGACAAGACATGGCGTGTAAATTCATCAAAAGATATTAATGGCCCCGTTTGACAGAACAAGACTTACTTCAATCTTAAGGTAACATTAATTAGTTGTTCTGTTCCGAGTCAGAGACAGTAAATTTCAAAGTTAATGGAAGAAAATGTAAACTACTAGTTACTAGTAGTACTATTACAACATTTAGTTATGATTAAACTATTTGAAAATAGGACTATTTATTTATAGTTATACAGTGAAGCCATTTTCATATTTACTTATAATATGTATCGCATTTTTGTTTTTATAATATGAGACAAAAGTCATACTAATCTAAGTCTATTTGAGTAGCCAGTAATTTCTTATAGATATTTGTCAGTAGTCTGTTTTGCACTGCCTTTGTTTTAACTCTGCCTAATTTGACCGAAATTCATTGTAGATACGTTTGAGACTAAAAATGTACTTTCTGTATTGTTTACTGTAATGTTGTGTAATGTTGTAACATTCGACATTTATTACAGTATATAGGCAATTATAATTAGTATATTGTATAGATGAACGTGCCTGATAAACTATTTGATATTTCAAATCTATGTCAGTAGCAACGACCAATCAGTAGTGAAATCCTCTTTTCGTACATGGGGTTTGGGGCAGTATATTTTTATGTCCCTCACAACCACTGAATTTAATTAGCTAATTAAAATTATTAATAATGTTTTCGTAATTATCAAACCCAGGTCCTCTCTATTTCAACGAATCGGTAGGTATTTAATCACGTCAAGATTTATTATGTCAAGATTTTACGTAAAAAAGACTGAGCGTAAAGAAAAGGCAAAGATAAAAAAGGTTTTGACAACTGAACGTCGTCAAAACGTGAACAATAAGCGGTGAGTCACAGAGTATGAACTTTTAAATTTTTGCAACATTCGTATCAGTTCAAGAAACAAGTCTATTTATGGTGTCCGGATGCGATTAAGAGCGTTATGCGTATTACTAATAATAATTCACATGCGTAAGGGCACATCTGAAGAGTCTGGCCTGAAATATGACTCACCCCATTTCACTGAAAATGATGAAACAGAACACTTAGATTATGTAAAATGAAATCATCTTTTTGTGCTCTATTTATACAATTTTTTATGGTAATTAACAATGACTAATTTCACTTATTGACTAAGGAAATTATATCGAATCGATTTTTTTACTTTATGTCCTTTGAAACAATATATAAAAAGGCCAGTAATTTATTCAAAATGTTATATAGTATAATGTTATTTTATATATTGCTATACAAATAAATGTTGCCAGAATTTAAAAAAAACTACGCTGTAACCGTACAGACTTTACTAGAAAGTAATAAAAAAATTCAATAGACAATCCTTCATGAAATTTGACAAAATAAATTCATGACTCATTACACCAGTAGACGTCAAAATGAAAGACTATCGCTGATTCATTAAACGAAATAGTTAAAAGACAATACTGAAGTAACATTAAGTTAGAAACTTAGATATGGCTGTTAGCCAACTACATCCCTTGGATTTCAGCCAGCTTTTCAGTTAAGTTATATTCTCGATAATATAAATAATTTATAACGCAGATAAGATGAACTTAATGTTTCGGAAAGCAAAAATTAAAAGGCAACGCTTTCAAAGGCAGATTGTGACTCAAATGAGAATAAAATGTATAAACTGCTTCTGTGCAATCACAGCACATAAACCACCATACTATAACAAGGCAGGTGTATTAATTATGGAATATTCTTATAAAAGAAACGATCCTTTAAATCTCATTTTCACTTTAAAGCGAAATATATAGTTAACATTTTAATCTATTTAACTATGACCCGACGTTTCAAACGTTTTGCTCAAGCCGTGGCCACGGAGGATGGCTGCTGCAAGTATTCTATTTTAATGTCTTATACTCGCCTCAGTTACAGAAAACATTTTAAATTGTTTTTGTATAGATAATATACTCTAGAAAGCTCTAATTCAAGAATAAAAAATTAGTGTAGCTTTTAAAGATATACATTTGTTTGGCATGAATTGTTCTAGCATTAATATTTAGGTTTTTGTTATTTATCGGGTTTAGTGAACTAAAGACCGTTCTTGATAACACAATTTTTAGTGGTGAACTACTTAGTAACTAACCCACGAACTTGGTTCTAAATGAGTTCTGGATTGATGTTGACCGTCACTAAATCTTTTGTCGAACACCATATATCGATTTTTTGTCAAACTTCGCTATTGATTAAATGTTATACTTTAAATTTGTCACTTAAGTATGGTATGTAAATTAAAACAAAGAAAACGTATGTTTTTCCTCATTGCACATGTTTTTATCAGACTCAGAATTTTCTCAGCTTACTAAATTGTTATATTGTAATTAGTAACATATAAAAATAAGTAATCATAACTAATTACTATAGTCAGGTAAATATATAAGTTTCTGGTGAATAAATCACAATGTTGTTTCTTTCTCTAATAATAGAAAAGAAAAACAAATCAAAATTTAAATGAAATAAAATAACGTGGACACACATTATACAAGCTAAAACTTCAAACCAATAAGCATTAATATCTTATTTAAAATACGCAAATAAATTTTATTAGCTTTTAATTTCGTCAAGCCCGATTTTAATAGGTATAAATTATTCAAAAACATTGTTGTCAGGGCTACACAACGATATATCTCCGAATTGAACACGAATGATTTTATTATTTCTAACTTAACAAACTTACAATTTTATCTCTGCACCGGAATATTTATAAGAATAATACTAGCAATATTTACCTCAAGCAGCGACAAATGAAATCCCGACGACTATACCATAAAAAACTTGAACTTCACCACACAAGAACCCCGTTAAGTTTAACGAAAAAGCACAGTAACGCGATGAGAGTTCGAGAGGAACTCGCGTGCGAAAAGTCGTGTGTATTTAGTTGGGGAGCGGACGGATCGTGAGGGAATCGTGAATTTCGGTGTCTCGATGGCCGCGCAACGTCGTTACCAGCGGCGAGGCAGGCCGTACACTGAATTACTGATTGGTGACTGAGCCGTGGCCGGTCGGCTGAGTCGCCGGCCGCGGCGCGACTCTGCCCCGCGCGTGCGCCGGACCTGTTCTTGCAGCCTCCCGCGCTAATCTTACCAACTCGTGGCCAGCCTGCTACGCGCCAGCGACGCGCTAGGGCTGTGCCCACCCGGAAAATTCGGAAAACCTCGCGTGACACTTTGAAGACGAACCCTAGAATAGTAAATTTACAGTCCTATAAGCGTGTTTGACAATTATAAACAGACTTTCGAAGTTAAAGTCGCTTCAAAAGAGATCGAGTAACACTATTTATTTACAATGAAAACGGCCTTAAAATTACATTAATGAAACAGAGTAAAAAAATGTGATAGTAAAATAAAAAAATAAAAAAAATATATTTATCACAGATTTGTAAAAAATATGTAGTAAGGAAAGAACGGGACCGCCTCTGAAGCTTCATGGTTAATCATAGCATTGCAAAGGCGCGAGACGTCCTGGGTTTGAATCCCGGGGAAGCAATAGATTGTTTCGGTCGGGCAGGGCACAGAAATCTGATCAACTACTTGCCTGTAAATTAAATCGATTTGTGAAACGGCCACAGTAACGTGTTAGCCCCGTGCCCCAGGGCTGAAAACGGGATTTCACAAATAAGTGAGTAACTGAAAAAGTAATAATTTAAATAAAACACTTACACACCGACCCGACGTCTCCCCGTGACCACGGCTGCTGCAAAGCATCCGAGACGTCGGTCCGAAGTTAAAAATCACTTTCAAATAAGTACACTAAAAATCAAAAATAAGAAGCTTTGGACAACCCTGGATGCACTTATCATTCATTGCAGACCACACAAACGCAGTATTGTTTAGGTACCATCATCGACCACACATATTTGACACTCGTAAATAAGCACGTCCCAGATAGTACTATTGATAAGTAATTGTCAGTCTGAAGGATGCATTATAATCAATTTTATTACTACACTTAAATGCATTAAGTAATTATATGTATAATTTATCTACAAAATGCATTGATATTTTTTTCGCTATCGCTAAAATTACATGCTTAAATACGGTATTGATAATTATTATCGAAATTGTATCAAATAAAACACGTTTAACCGAAATACATTTTTTAATATATGTTTACTTCGTTTAAGTTGTTTTGTTTAATCTAAGGACAATATTAATTTTTTATTTATTTATTATAATATTATTATTTATAACCCAAACTACACACTACCCAAAATATACACATACAAAAAGAGAAAACATCTTTCGTACTAACTAATAAATAAAAGGCGGCCTTATCGCTAAGCACCGATATCTTCCAGGCAACCTGTACAGGTTAAGTTAAGTACAGGAGAAAAGAAAAAGACTTATTAAGTGGGTAGGTGTAAGGAATAACAAGCAAAAGAAAGGGTACATCGCAAAAGAATACATAGCACTAAGATAGTGGGGAGAGAATAACTTAAGAGTTGAAGAGGTAAAACTTGTAGAGTAAACTCTTAAAAGAACGGAGAGATTGAGCTTTTCTGATATCAGTGGGAAGAGATGTTTTATGCTTAGGAACAAATAAGAGGAGATTGTCAATAGAACGAAAATTTAAGTTGTGGGAACTCAAAAGGACGAATATCTCTTCTAAAAGAGATAAGAGGGAGTTTTGGGATCGAAAAGGAAACGGTAGAGGAGATGAAGAAGATGGGAATCCCGACGATTTCGGATAGAGAGCCAGTTAAGCTTTCTACGAAATTCAGAAACATAATCGAATTTGCGAAGGCCAAAAATGAAACGGATACACGTACTTATTCTGAAGCCGCGCAAGCTTATCAAGCTGGAGTTCAGTTAGATGAGTGAATGATACATCAGCATAGTCCAGGATGGGGAGTAATAGAGACTGAGCAAGTAAAATTTTTGTAGGGATGGGAAGGAAGTTTTGCAAGCGTTTTAGGGAGTGTGAAGCGGCATACATTTTCTTGCTCAACTGGTTTAGATGAGGATGCCAGGACAGAATTCCGTCAATAATTAGACCCAAACTTTTGACAGAAGAAAAGTGAAAGATAATCTAAAATTAATCATAAACTTGAGATCATTAAATTCGTCAAAGTACAGCGACTCTTGCTTCGATTTCTTGATTTTTAAACAAACAATTTTAATATTACTTCAAGAAGATATTATCTAAGTTATTTTATTACGATAATATAATTAAATTAGCAGTCGTTTATCGTCCATCCTTATCGCGTATAAACAATTTCTTTCTCGATCTTCTATTATTGCAATGCCATTGTCCGCAAAACGTATTTTTATGCGTTCGGAATTTGATATCTTTAAATGTTGATGCATATACTTCAAATAATATAAGACGATAAGTTTTATAATATATATACCTACATAGATTATTGAGATTTAGAGAGTGTACAGTCGTTTGTATTTTTTTATTTTTTTGTAATATTATTCGGACAATTTAATATGCATCTTTATAAATTATAGATGTCACTCACGACATCGGTTTCGTCTTGTCGTTCTTGCACGTTAAAAGATAGACATACAGTGTCGCAGTCATTTTTTAAATTGCTTAAAGAGGAATCATTGATTCATAATTATTTCTGTTTCTGTAAACTGTTTTCGCAGCGCACGCGACGGAATCTTACAAAGATTTATATATTTTTCGTTTTTGTTTTTTATATTTTCCACTTTCCATATTTCTTCGCTGCCATTGGTCGCGTCGTGATATTTTATACTCTAAAGCCTTCTCCGATAAATGCCCAACCAACACGAAAATAATTTTTCAATTTGATCCAGTAGTTCCTAAGATTAGCAAATCAAACAAAGACACAAACGCTCTAGCTTCATATATTAGTATAGATAGGTTTATAATTTATTAGTTGATTGTTTGCGATGAACTTCACAAAGTGGACTTTAGAAGCCTAGCCTTATTTAATTACTGAAGAAAATGCTACACTTAACTAAGTAGTTATGTGTAGAGTGTCCACAGAGAGATGTGCAGAGAGAGTCCACAAAGTGGACTTTAGAAGCCTAGCCTTATTTAATTACTGAAGAAAATGCTACACTTAACTAAGTAGTTATGTGTAGAGTGTCCACAGAGAGATGTGCAGAGAGAGTCCACAAAGTGGACTTTAGAAGCCTAGCCTTATTTAGTTACTGAAGAAAATGCTACACTTAACTAAGTAGTAATAAACGATAATAAGTATCATCCTCTAATGGACAATATATAATGATATGCTGATTGTAAAGAAGGCATCTCAAATGTGAACATCGCAATATATATACATTTAATTTAAAGTGTTTTAATAGCTTAAACGATATGCACAAAATAAAAAGTATTAATTAGTAAATATAAGATATACACCAATTACTTGATAAGTGAAGTACAAAGGTTTAGGTGGGGTGATTGTGAACAGATTATCTAGAAACAAGCTTTCCTTGACTGTTAGTTCACTTGTAAAAGGCAAGTACTTCAGCCACTATAGAAGGTTATGTGGGAGATAAGTACTACTATTAAGAAACAGCTTAGGCTTTAACTACAAGATACTAGACCCTCAAGCAACGTTGTTTATAATGGAACCTCTATAAAAATTATGAGTTGTTTGAATCTGTTCTGCGTAAAGAAACAAATAAACATCAGACTGCGACCATTAAGAGTGAAGAAACAATGGGAAATGTGAAAAAAAATCAAGAAAATTTTTCATCTTTGAGGGCTTCCTAACCTAAAATACCTCCCTACCTACATACCTCGTATGTACGACGAGACGCGGACGACATCTTAGGTAATAGCTATAATTAATAAAACTGAGGAGGAAAAATAAAAAATATGATGTGCAAAATAACTACGCGGACGAAGTCGCAAGCACAGCTGGTGTTCACCTGTATAAAAAATTATTTTGATTTAATTTTTGGACTTGACTTTACTTGCCCTCGATTATTAATGTTAGTTTTTTTATCATATGTATAATTAAAAATTAAACAAGTCTGTCTTCAAGCATCATTATTTCAAATAATATATATTTAGTGTTATGAATCAGTATAAAGAATTAAAATAAAAAAAAATGTCCAAGCGTGGGCTGGAGTTTACGCGAGTAGTAGGCAAAGGTTTAAAAGGCGAGAAAATGTATTAAAGATACTATTTGCAGCAACTGTGAGGGATAACAGGGGTAACAGCGGTGGTCCTATCTGAAAAATCTGGCCGTTGTTAAACTGAATCTAAAATAAGCTAAATAATATACTCCGCGTTTTAAACCGTTAGAATTGTTTTATACATAATTAAAAACGAAAATATATGCAAAACATACAAATTAACTTATTGCTTAAAAGCCTTCGCTTATACATTTATCATAACATTCGCTTGATGAAACCCGCTTAAAGTCAAATTGATTGTAAAGTCAGTATTTAAACCTGATGACACGACAATATCTCAGCACAATTTAATAGATGTCAAAAGACTGTTTGTTTAGGCTGTTGATTAATGGCGTGTTGTGTTAAAATGTTATATAAAAGATTCTTAAAGATTCCTGAGTTTTTCTGTCAAATCTATTGCGTTAGGTTTTCAAAGTATGTATTATTAATAATGAATAACATATATAAACATAGTTTAGATAATTAAAAAATCCGTCTCTATAATATTTGTTTGGTAACATAGAGAGAATTATAAGTTCTGTGCAAAAAATTAAATATATATTTGGTTTAAAACTTCTTTTGAAAACTGCACATTGTGATGGCCCTATGTAAATTTAAAATCGATTATAAATTGAAAAAAATGACGACTTGGGCATGACTTCAACTGGCATTCACAGCGTTCCGCGCTGTTTTACTAACCAATTGAGCTACCGAGTCCAACACGATATCGTCGGATGTTTTCAACCCATTGATACATGCAACTCTCAGGCAACATAAAAAAAATACTTACATGTTTGGCATATTAAAATCTCCCTCTCAAGTAATTGCAATTTTCGTGATAATAAACCTATATTAATTAAATAAAAAATAAGTATTTAGAAATAAGTTGTATCTGTACTTTACGCTTGAAATGCTAGGAGCTGTGTTGATCTTACATTAGGTATCTTGTTTAAACGCGCTAATCTCAGGAACTACTGCTAGGAATTGAAATTTTGTGTTGTTTAGAGTATTTATCGAGGAAGGGTACAAAATATTGCGCTGCAACTAATGGGGGGGGGGGGACAACGGGAAATGTGGAGAAAACTGGTAAAATTATTCATTTTGTTGGTTTCCCTCGCTTACGCTGCGAAAACGGTACAAGATGCTAAATGATAAAAAAAATGTATGAAATAATGATTCCCCTTTTAACTGATCTAAAAAAGGTGGATAACTTTTAAGATTAGGGTAAGTGTTATAAGTAAGGGTAACAGCTAGTAATATATATAGATAAGGAGGTTTGCAAAATAAAACTTGGATGCCCAAAACATACTATTTCTCGCAGACGAAGTCACTGACACAGCTAGTTACTAATAAAACTAGTATGAAATAAGACCCTGAACGCATGCTAAAACATCAAAGGTTACACCAGTTTACACTCGAATGCCTTTAAGCATGAGATTACTATCTGACATTATCGATGGGCGTCATTAACTGTATTTAAGTAATAATGGCACTGTAATAACTGACGGCGACAATATATTCAATGCTTCAAGATTGGCGGTAACTATTGGAGCCGTAAGTGATAATTTGACGGGCTCGTTGGTGTAAGCAATTTTGTTAGCAATTTATGGGTAATAATCGAGGATCGTGAGTTTGATCCGCAATCCAACAGTCTTCTAATCAATTTGCAGTTTTTCCGAAACACGTTTGATTTGGTCGGGAAGCTG